TATTACTATTGTATTATAAATTAAATATATAAATAACATTAATTATGATTTACTCATTGTTAAATCGGGTTAGACACAGTCCGACTGGATGGACGGAGAACCTATTTATAACCGGTCTAGTTTGATTGAATAAAATATTTGCTATCAACTCCGTCAACTCCAATCGATTGGATTGGTTGAATCGATACGATTTTCTAAATAAATTTTGTTACATTTAAAATTATTTTAAATAAAATTACATATTTAAATAAAATAAAGATTTATAAATTTTTTATCAATTAGTTTAAACATTTGAATTTATAAATTGTTAGATACTAGTGTGTATCCCGTGCGCTGCACGGAGGGGTTTTTACTTAAAACCTTTTCTAAGACTTTATATTATACATAGTTATTTATGTTTAACATCTTATTATTATAAAAAAAGAAATACTAAATATGAAAAATTATATATTATTTATTTGAATATAATGAGTGTCCCAACCAAACTAATAACATCCAACATATGATATATGATAAAATTAATTATATGATCGTCATACATTTTGAAAAAATATACATATATTTCTAATAAACATGTAAGATCCGCATTTAAATTTGTATTTGGATATGGGATGAAAAATGAATATGTACAAATAAAAAAGTACCAAGAACCTACATAAAATGAGATTCTTTATAAACTTTAAAATATTTTGTAGTTAAGCAAATATTAACAAACAAAATCATCAATTAAGTTGAACTTATCGAATATAAAATATAATTTATGATATCATTGACCATATTTACCCGTTGTATTTAAAGTTATCATTGACCATATTTTTATGAATTAGGGTTTACAAAATATCTTCTTCAAAATAACAATTTTTTTTAATTTGAATTTGACTTTTTCATCCAACCGCCATTTTCCACAAGAATAAAAATAGTATTTTGGAAAATTTTAGACGTGAAAATCAAATAAAATTAATTTAATAGTAATCGATTAATATAATATTATTCAAAATTGTTTAATTCGGTCAACCCGATCTTAGTGCACGTTTCATTGAAACAATCGCTTACCAAAAAAAAAGGTAATCGCTTACAAAAAAAGGAAGTGAAATCTATCTATATAATATAAATCAGATTGAAAAAAAAAAGGAAATGAAATTTCATAATTAATTAACTTAAATTGATGTTATTCGATTTATATCAACTCCCTTCCAAAAAAAAAAGGAAATATCCGATTCCTACCAAATCGATTAAAAAAAAAAAGGATTATAATATACGTCCAAATAAATTACAATTGAAATGTAGGCGGGATTATAAAAAAAAAATAAAAAAAACTTTACCGAATGTTTGAAAAAAAAAATCGGATTAAAAAAAATTAAAAGGAAAAAATTCAAAACGTGAAATTAAAATTAAAAACGTGAATTAAAATTAAAAAAATTAAAAATACAAAATTTACCAAATCTCAACCCATCAAAAAAAAAGGAAAATCGAGTGAAATAAAACGTGAAAAAAAAAGGAAAAGCGAGTGAATTAAAAATGTACCAAATCGGATTTTAAAAAAATGGTAACAAATCTCATCTCATCCTAAAGAAAAGGAATTATAACAAATTTAACAAAAAAACAACCAAATCTTATCCTAAAATAAAACAATCCGATTTCCATAAATCACATCCAAAATCAAATTAAGTTAGGCGGGATAAATGAAAAAAATTCAAAAAGAGTTTCCAAAACAGGTAATTTTCGAAAAATTTGAGAGGGAAAAAATGATGTTTAAGCGGGAAATGAAATATTTATTCAAACATTTTTCCTTCTCCGTATTATATAGTAATAGATTTAAGTAACTCATTTTATTTAAATTTATTCAAAAAAGTACTATATATATATATATATATATTAAAATATTTATAAATTAAAATCTGAACAAACCACAAATGATTTAATAAAATAACTTGATCGTTTCGATGACGGTTAGGTTCTGAAAACCTTACATTTACTGTACATTAATAAAATATTATTTTATTCACACAAATAATAATAAAATAATATATAAATATTCATAAATCATTAAAAATGTTGTTATAAAAGTATTTTTAATATGATTATTTGAATTTTGGAGTACATCACATTCATGTAATAAAGTATTTTCAATATTAAAATTTATATTTAGGTTCAATAATCAATTTGGTCGGGTCAAACTGATACATAATTTAGTCACATGAGACCAACCAAGTTTTGTGTCAAGTTTTTTTATTATTTCAAATATCACCTAAAAGTAATTCTGTCAAGTTTTTTGACTATTTCAAATATCACCTAAAAGTAATTCAATCAACCTGGGCAGTAACCTAATTCAGTCACCAGATTGATCCAAAGAAATTTCCTTATTTTCTCTAAATACATTAGATTTATGAAATAAAAATATTTTATTATTCATATAATAAATGTCTACACAATGATAGTATATTAAGACTATAATAAATAAACATAGTAATTTTCAAAAAAAAAAAAAGATTAATTAATTGGTTATGCAATTTAAAGAATATTTTTAGCGTTCAATATTTTTTTTAAGGCACAAATATAAAGACCGAGATTCTAAAATTTTTGTTATATTTTGAATTGAGATTTTATAAATATAGAGATCGATATTTTAATGTTGTTTGTTGTTTATAAGAAAAAAAATTAATATAAAAACACGCACACTTAATAGATCTTAGCCGAATTTTTTAAATAATAAAATAAACTAAATTCCAAAATTTATGGTAACATATAAATTTTAATGTTGTATGATTTTTAAAGAAAAAACTAGTATGAGTCCCGTGCACTGCACGGGTAAGAGATATTCATTAATATTTATAAATTAATTTTTTTTATTAAATAATATTTGTAAATTAAAGATATAGAATCAAATACCTATATTAATTTGTTGAAAATATTATATAAAGTTTAAATTGTGAAAAATTACATAAAAATGTCTATTTAAAATTAGTACACAACTCATGCGATACATATAACTGATAATAAATTACATTATATTCGTTTCAAAATAAGTGTCATTTCAAATTTTTTATTCAGAAATTCGATTTGACATAATGTGATTACATAAAACAATTATTTTGGTAAAATTTTATCATATATTTAACAACATATGTGAATAATAATTATAAATATAAAATTTATATCGTTTCATTACTTAAAATAATTTATTTTTGTATAAACTATTCAAATAAAAAAAAAATAAGTAGTTGAGTAATTTATTGAACTATAAATAATTGACTATTTCATTCACGTCCAAGTTAATATTGACCTGTAAGTTATGAATAATTGTTTTTTTTTTATTTTTAATTTTAAATAAAAATATTTTTATTTTTTTATATATTATATACCAAATTTAAACTATGCAACTAATAAAGGTAATAGCTGCAAGTTTTGTCAATATATTATATTTCACATTTAAATTATTCAACAAATAAAGGTAATAGCCGCAATATTTGACCAAAATAATTTTTTACATTAATTACATTAACTTAGGCAGGATTTTTCAAACTTTGGCAAGAAAAAAGAATTGCCCAATTTAGTAATTCTGAATTTTTAGGCGGGAAAACCAAATATTATTTTATTGATTTTTAGTTACTATTTCAAGTAAATATCATTGTCTTTTTATATATTAATAGATGTCATATTTTTGTAGCGTGCTATGCCACGGGATTTCACGATTTGTTGATTATTAGATATTTAATGATAAATTGTTTGAATCAAATAATTTGTTGACATTAACGTGAAAAAAAAATATTATTTAGTAGTAAATTCAAATTTATATCATTCATGATATTAAATATTCAAAATTTGATTTTATGTTTATATTAAGTACATATTACTTAGGTCACATAATTTCATAATTTTTAATTACTTATTTTGATTAATAATCAAATAATTTATTTCTTTTTCTTTTGAAAATCTAAGGACTCTTTTTTTTTTTCCTCCCCCAACGAAATGAAATGAGTCTAAAATAATATATAATTGGATGTGATTTACTTGCCAAACATTGGATGTGATTTATTGGTTAATAAATTGTTTAAGCGGGACATGCAAAAAATTTCAAAAATATTTGCTGAAAATTAATCAAAACGAAAAATAGAAGCGGGAAAAAATAACTAAAAAAGCGGGAAATGAAATATTTTTTTCAAAGTTTTTCAAATAGTTTTTCTTCTCCTTATTATATAGTAATAGATAAGAAAAATAATGAAACTTACTATTTATGGGTTGCATTAAATTTTGACATATTTTTTTGCTATTATTTTTAGTAAATAATTATTCTTATTATATATATTTATACTATGCAAACGTATTTTTACTATATATATATATACTATGCAAACGTATATTACTAAATATCAGTAAATCTCAAAATAGGCGTATTAAATTTTTTTCATCAAGTACTATTTATTTACTGATAATAGATGTTGTGCACATCATTTATCAAACAAAATATTATACAATATTTAAAATTATAAATTAGATAGGAGTATATTACATTTTTAAATTTTAAAAAATAACAGAAATATACGATATAAATATAAAGTATATAACTTACCTATAAATCATATGAACAATATAAACTAATTGATCGTAAATTAGTGATAAATTATAAAATAACTTCAAATAGTATATGTTTAATGGAATGGAAAAGTTTGAAAATAACATAAAGTAATTTATTGAGTCAATGTTGAAGTAATTCATGATCCTGATACATTTATATCATCTCCTTATCTCTATACTGTACATTTATATCATCTTCAATTCTCATCTCTCTTATAGTATAGACAATAATTCAAAATTTTGTATTCTCTAACATCTATTCATTGCGGATAATAACACAGACGAATAACATATGGGCTTATGGCGACGAATAATATATGGGCTTATGGAAAATACTTGTACACGGCCGAAGTCGCGTATTACTCTACTTTTGGCTTTATGCAATAAAATTTCTTTCATAATACAAATTAAAAAAATAATCGTGGCTTTGATTCGAAGTGGAACAGTCCAAAATTCATACATTCAAACAACTCATAATTGATTATTATAATCATTTACCCCCCATTTTTTCTTGTTCTAATTTCTCCTTTTGCCCACTCTCAAGTTTGGCAGAGACAACACACAACGTTCGATTCAAAGTTTCAAAGCCAACAGTTACTTTTTACAGAGAGTAAAAAGGAAAACTACCTTCTACCCATTGGGCATTCAGACTGCTCCCTTAGCCTGTTTTCAGAATTTTTTTTACTGCACCTATCTGTACAAAAATCCTTTTAATGGAGTACAAATTATCATCATAACCCTGAAAACATGACGTCATGTTACCCTCAGCAACATGGATATTCCCGCCATTTCCGTTGCGATTCAAATGCTGCAACGTTTTTGCTCCTCCGACGTATTTCTCCCCATCTTCTCGCGCGAGTTATCGCTCGCGGAACGAGATAATTGCGAGATTTCTGAAATTTTGAGCAAAGATATGAATTTATTTTAGATGAAATAAAGACGAAATGGAAAACTTTTTATGATTTATCTCACAAAGCAAAAATATAAAGTTAATAATAATACCTAGGTATGAAGAATTATTAAAGGACTTTTTGCAGTGAAGAATGGCGCCTTGGATTCCATCGTGGTGCTCCATCAGGAGGTCGTCCCTCCGGCAGAGCGGCGGCGGACCGTCCGCCGCCGACGCCGTTCGGTTCTTCCCACGGACCGCCGCTGACGCCGGCCGGCTCTTCCCCAATCTCCTTGTCATGATCTTGAAGCTCCCCACCCTACTCACCTCGCAGAACTTCCTCGGCGACTGATTCGACGGCGCCGTCAACGGAGAAGATGACGGCGTAGAGAATTCTGACGACCTCGCCTTGCTCGAGGCCTTCGCGTAAAAAGGCTTAATCAGCTTCATGTACCTCGGCACCGATTTCTCCCCGGCGGCGAGGACGTTGGGAGACGTGCCGTATTCGCGGCTCTCTTTCAGCATTTTGGTCCGCAAACTGTTATCCCTGGTAAAAACCGGACCGAACGACGCTGCCGGTCCGGTTTTCGCCGCGGATCGGTTGCTCTGCTCAAGCTTCGAAGATCCCCTGAGCCGATTCACCGGGTTGGCCTTCAACTCAACCGCGATTGGACCGGTTTTCTCGCGCCTCCGCTGTTTTGTCAATCCTTGGATGAAAACCTTGAATTTGGGGCCCCGCCGGAGGATGCTGACCGGTGACCGAGGCTTGGAGCTCGGATAATCGTTTTTCCTCAGTAAAATATCCTTCAAACCTTCGTCGTGAATTTTGGCGGCAATTTGATCCGGCGACCTGATAACCAGATCGAAGAAAGAATCATCGTCGTCGGTTTCTTCTTCGTCGGTGCCGGAAACAGGATTCCGAGAGAAATACACGCCGGGGATGGAAACGGCGCCTGCGCCGGCGCTGGTGTTTCTCCAGAACCTGAGAATTCCTAGAGCTTCCATGAGAGAGAGAGAAAGGGGTGAATTTTTAGAACAAAAAGCGAGACTGAAAAGAGTTGAAAACAGGGGAAGGTTAATAACTTAATATAGAAGGAGGAGTTATGGCGTGTATGGACTTCGAAGCGTGGTAGAAAAGAGTTATCGAATGAGACAAATTGGTACAGTAAAAAAACGAAGTAGAAAAAGGTGATGCCAAACACTGTGTTACGCTCAGGGTACAGCTATTTATGCAGTAGCAGATTAATAAATAAGAGTAAGCTGTAAGCCTGTTANGTAAGCCTGAGCGAGCAAGCTCATCGGGCTTGTGAAATCTGGACAATTTGCTAAATGGGCCCATATGGGCCCGGGCCCTATCCGAAGCTTAGTTTCAGAATCAAACCATAAAGTTGAACCCAAAGAAAAAATATTATCGAAATGGACTGTTGCTTGCTGAAAAAATATAGAATTAATTATTAAAATTGTGCTTCGAGTTATAGCGTTTGTAACATTTTCATGGTTACATTGCACCTATCAGATTTTGTGGTGTTCATGCATGCTAACTAACGTTAATAAAATGAGGTGATAAAACAAACTCGAACTCACTATCATTATTAATAAGTTGAATTATAGAAATTGTATAAATTAATGATTTTAGCCTTTACGAGCTTCAAGCAAACACGCTGAGCTTTCGTTTAACGAATAGAAAAAGGTTTTGAGCTGTTTTTCATAAAAGTTGAGATACACTTTTCCAACAAGATGTTTGGACCGTGGCTTAAAATTAAATGGTGATTTGGACACTTAATTAGGACTAGTACAGAGCCCGTGCGATGCACGGGGTGCACAATTTTAAGGCTATTTATCCAGACTTATAATTATATACATGAATAAAGAAAAATGTACGGGATATACATAGTACGTGACCCGTGCAAAGCACGAGATATATTTATTTGGAGAATATTATATTATAAGATGCAGTATTCAATAAAAGTTTATAACACGCAAGAAAATTATACAATGTTCAATACAAGTTTTATAATATTCAAGTGGAGTCTTAAAGTCTCTTGTACATTAAGACTACTGACAAAATAATATTTTAACCAATGAGTTTCCTTTCCTTGTAGCCAAATTGTGAATGTGATTGAGGAGTACAACAAATCGATATATAGTTGACTTGCTTTTTTCATTGTAGTTTTTTTTTGTAATAATAAATTTAAATATATTCTAAAATATAGCAAAAATTAATTTTTTTTATTACAATTAGGAATTTTACTAAATATAAACTCTCAATCTATGGTGTTAATCAACGTTTAAGTCTAAAAAATTAGGAATTTTTACCTCTTCTAATCAACGTTTAAGTCTAAAAAACAATAGAGTTATTATAAGTTTTTTTTCTACATCTTTTAAAACATTAAATATGAGCATGTTAGGGCTAGCTTGTAAAATAATTAATATATTTATCTCACTAAAACATTTATACTAATAAAAATTTAATTTTAGCATATAAATTTATCCCTTGATATAAGAGAAAGTAACAGTTTTACTTATTGTTGTTCACCATATAATATTTAATTATTATTTTATTATATAATAAAAAAGAAATATTGTTAAATAGTGTAGTAGAATTGTTATAAATTATATGATTTTTTGTCACAATATGGATTTAATATTTTTTTTATGATTTGATAATATAAACAAATCTATACTTAACTTTGACAAATAAAACAAATAAATACTTTAGTAAGTATTTAATGTATATACTAAATAGGAATATATTTGGTAAAATCAAATACCAAATATAATCAAATAAGTCAAAGTGTACATTTTTATTTGGTATTTGATTTTTTAATTATTAAAATCTTTTTATTATACTTATTTTTTTTAAAATAAAACAAATAAATAAATTAATTAAATAAATAATATATTATAATACCAAAATAGTAATGACATTTAATGCAGTTGACTTTTCTGGATAGTAAATATAGTAAATAGAATCTCCTTTTATATAAGTATAGATTGTATAATACGAAAATAGTAATGCAATAAATGTTGTGGACTTTTCTTTTTACTAAATCTGGTAAATGGTATACCTTTTAATATAAGTATAGATTTTCAGTTTTACTAGTGTCCAAATTTCAATGTTATCCCAATAATTTCGGATATTAATGAAAATGGAGTAATGATGGCAACCTTTACAACTTTTGCCTTTTTTTTTAAAAAAAAAAATTAATGCATAATTTCAATCGTGTAACATATAAAGATTCTAATTACCAATATTTTATTTTTTCGTGTTCGTGGAAGTACAATTCTTATTTTTTACAATATTGTACAATGATCTACATCAATTGATAACCAACCTCATATGTCTAAAATTTGTCAGTAAAGTATGGTTAACTAAAATAACTTATTTTAAGTAAATTATTTTATAAACAATCAAACTTTAAGGGTTTGCTTGTTTATTTATTGAGTTTTGATTATTATTTTTCTTAACATATTTTAGAAAGTTGGTTAGATTATGTTTAAGTGAATTTGAGTTTATATTAAAATAATATTTAAAATAAAATAATTAAAAATTATTTAATTTAAAAGTACGATTGAAAGTGATAAACAATTAAAATTATGTGAGTTGATAAATTACATTTAATGTGGTGTGTAAGAATGATTGATTAATATTATTTAATTATATTGATAATATTTTTATAAGATTGAATTAAAATTAAGTTAGATTTGAGTTTAAATTAAATTTTTATTTTTATTTTTTCAGAAAACTTATATTCAAGCATGCACTAAAGGTCGACTGGTAATTTTAAGGTTTGACTTGATCGTGTTTAACGAATCAACGGCCGTGATTCAATCCCCCAAAAGGTAAAGTGATTTTTATTATTCGCCTTTGAAAAGGAAAAAAGGGAAAAAAGAGAGAAAAAAAAGTACTTTAGCAAATTAAAGTTGGTAAACAACGTGGGAAACAAAAGGGTAAAAGAAATAAAGGTCAAAAGACGGTTAAAGGAGGTAAAAAATTGCCCATTTAATTTGTTTTTTATAAGTTCTTACACGAGGAGGTATAACAGTTGGTCTGTTAACTGTTATACTTTATTTAGGAAATATGTATAAAATTTCATATGCTTATTAGTTTAGTTATAGTTTTCTAATCTTTTTTCTTTCGTTTTTATTTTAAATTTTCGCATTCGATTCTACAAAGTCAAATTGTGGAGCTATAAAGTCAAAATGGTCATTGAAAGCGAAAGGTAATTAAAGAAATTCGACACAAGCGAATAAAAAGCAAATAATCTAAATATATTGTTGCAATTGGAGTCAAGAAGAAAATATTCCTCTAAAGGCTATATATCACACGTTCAAAGATACATTTTGAGAAAAAGGTTGGGACTTTATTTGCTTTTATTTTGGAGGAATCAGGTGCAGATTATATTATCATCCAATTGATGGTTCATTTTATTTTATTAATTTCTGTATTAGCTTTTCTCAATTAATTAGAAACTAGAGTAATTGTTTTGGAAACTATATATTAATTTGAAAATTCCCATTTAATCCTGCATAATTAGTTTTGCTTAATAGAGTTAATAACGGCTGTAATTAGTTGAAGCTCGGCCAAATCTAGATTGAGCCTATTAAACCAACTTTCAAAATTAAGCCATGCAAAAATAAAAATAAAAATAATAAATTAATAAAATCGGGCATTCTTATGTCTAATACATTGGCCTAATCTATAAATATAAAGAAGTTGTTAGTCGTATAATGTTTATACAATCTTACTTTTGGCCACATACACCTATTTTTAAATTGAAATATTATATTTTAAAAAATAATATACATTCCTTTTTATTATAAAAAATATGATGGATCGAGCAGCATATATTTAGACCAAATCACATGACAATTTGTATCAAAAGTATATTTTATATTGGGTTGATTGAGAAAATTCTACCAAGTACTACAGTTAAAAATTACGTTAAATTCCTTGTGAGAAAAAAAATGTAACACAAACAACTCTGATTGCTTAGGTACTTAATTAGAGGGATTTCATATAGCTCATAATTAAAGTGACAATTTCTATTTAATAAGAACACTGATTGTAGATATGTAGTACTCCCTCCATTTTGAAATATAAGGCGTATAAAGATTTCTTAATTTTTTTGAAATATAAGGCGCGCTCAAAAATCAAGACAAATATTTGCATTTTTTTCTAAATATACCTTCATTGTGTTGAAATTAAGGAAGTGCGGAGTGGTTGTGATTAGAGTACATAAGATTAATTTAGTCAATTTATTCATTAATTAATGTCTCCTTAATATTTGTGCAATAACTTTAAATGTCTTATATTTCAAAATGGAGGGAGTAACTAACAGTCTAACTCTTAAGAGTGGGATTTTGTTTTTTTATTTATTTTTTCCTTACAACTCATTGGCTTCTAATTAAGTTGTTCCTAACCATATGTTTCACATTTTTTTTAACTAAAACCCTCCAACTTCCAAGGACCTAATTGTACTTTAAAGCCTAATAAATTATTATATTTTGGACATCACCTTTCTCCTCGTGTCTTAATTACAAGGAGCCATTTTGGTTAATTAAACCATGGTCACATCACCACATTTTCTACATAACTACTTATGAAAGCTTTAAATCAAATTATGATGTTAGAATTGCAATGGTACAACAATATATACCTATAAACTTAATTATTCCACAATTTAGAAAAGTTCACACATAAAATATAGTTACGTGCCATTTCACACAATTCTTTAATTTGTGCAAATTTTCCTTTGCCAAATTAGAAGTGAATCTTGGGACTAATGTAGTTAAATTAGCAATAAATGTCATTCATTAAATGAAACGAGCTGATTGCGAGGTAAGCACTTTTTATCGAGTTCGTTTAGCTTGTTTGATTAACAACTTAGTAGACATAGAGATTGTTATGAAATTTTATCTAAATCAACTTGATAAGACTCGAGCCTGACTATTTTAACATCTCTAGTTACCGTACTAAATAAACGTTGTATATTTGTAACATCAAAGTGTCGATAAGCAATTTTGTAAAGTATAACAATACATCTATTATTTAGGTTAAATTTAGTTATTAGTGCACGTTATGCTGGGGATTCACTGTACCATGGCTGATGGCTAGAGAATTTTAACAAAATATTTGGACATTTTA